TCAAGGACCTGCATGTGGATATATTCTCTGTTGTGAAGGACAAGGAGACAAAGGGAAAGGAGTAGATTTCCTTAGGATACTGGTATCCCTGTTTTCTAGTTCTCTATTAAAATTCCTTAGCAAAAAAAAAAAGAAAGACTAAGGAGTGGGGAGAGAGACCTAAGCCTCCAGGATTCTGGAGAATGATTTTTCTCTGATAAATTATGTTTGATTTCTGTGAGCAGTTTGGTCTTTGCATATTAAAAATTAAGAATATTATACAATTATGTTAGACTAACATGTATTTCCTAGAATAAACGTATTATTTGAAAATCATCTAAGTAAAATACATTTTAAATTTATATAGTTATTTTACAGTTTTTGTTAAGTTTATGTGGAATAATCCTGCATTTGTGATGACAGTTATATTTCTCCAGTGCATCTAAGGCTATACGTTTATGTCAAATAATTTTCTTCATCCAAATTTATTATTTATCTGTGTGGGGCATTTCTTTTCATTGGCTAGGACACAAATTCATTACACCTCCACAATACTTCTATTACCATGACCACAAACTGTTGTTAAGTGAAATGTCTGCTTTTAGACAAGTTGTAGTAGCTATAAGTAAGTGGAATATGCCTGAAACTGTATGTTTGTTTAGATTATACTTGTTTTAGATTAGACAAGACTCTATTAGGAGAAGTTATAATCATAAATAGGTTCCTAAAAATTGCATTTATATGTATGAAATATTATTCTCTTACACATTATTGTACAAATTACTGTATTTTCTGACATACTGTACACGGACCCTTGGTATTTTTCTAAAACATAGCCTAATTTAATAGCTCTTTAGCACTACCAAAGGACCTTTTTGATGCTATGCGTATAGAGAACAGAGAAGCACAAAAAACATCTCCAAAATAAATCAACATTTGTGCCTTAAGTTTTAAGCTAATATATAAGTAGTGAATGCATGTATTCCTTCATTTTATTGCATGTGTATTGACCTTTATGTGGCTTTTTTATGTGAAGAATTATATGGTTAAGTCTAAACTTCAGAAATTCCATTGCATCAATGTCTTTTTCAATTTAAGATTAAATTTGTTATATAACTAAAAAGAATATTGTATGTTGAGTCCAACAACCTGGGTTTCTTTAGAACTTTGTGAGTTTTGGTTTCCCTTCTGAGATTATTAATTACTTCATAGAATTGAAGATTAAATAAATGATTTGAAATATTATAATGAATTTTATAAATGTAAGTAATAACCTTCTGGTAAAAACTCGCTTACCTTTGCTTCCACATTTTCTTAAGTTTAAATGTTTGCCTTTTATTTATATTAGGTTAGCATATCAACTTTGGAACTATTCAACAGATATGTGAGATTCTTCTTAACTATCGCTTTGTATATAAATTAACTAATTATGAAATATGCTATTTTCAAAATTTTCAAATCGCAGCATCATTTAACGATTGGAGAAGTAATTAAAAAGAAATTGCTTTCCTTATCTCTTTATGGTGTACTTCATAGAAATGCTGTTTTTCCAGTGCTTTCTTGACCTTAAAAATTACTTATATTTTTTATATAAAAATTATTTACTTACAATTTTAAAATGCATACTTTATTTGTAAGAGTAGGGTTTAATCTTGCTAAGCTTTCAAATTTCTCCTAAATAAGTTCTTGCAAATAAAAAACAAAGCAGAAAAACCTTACCTTGGCATTCATTGCACACATTCATAGTTATGACAATGCAGGTCATAAATAAATAGCCCACTTTCATTTTATAGTTAGGGTTTTAAATTTCTCATCTAGTCAAATGAAAAATAATTAATAGAAAATGGGAAAACTACTGTAATTTTTGTATTCTTGATGAATAATAAGTATTTGGTGTAGTAGCTCAGTAGGAAATTATTAGAAGAAGCAAATTGTGAAATAATATCATATAATGGGTCAAAATTATTTATATAGTTACCACTATAAGGATCAAGCATGTGGGTTCTTATTAATACACCATTAGCCTAGTCACACAATGAAAGAGAACGAAAGGGCAATTTTGAATGACATTTCTATCAACTTGGGAACTGTCAACCTCTATTATGTCCTTGGGGCTTTGCACTTTTTGGCTTTCAGACATCTGTGCTGCCTTGAATGGAGGAGAATATTAAGAGTTCCAGTGGGTCTCTTGCTCTAATAAATGCTTTGGGTAGTCATTTTTCAGTACGTGCATGTAATAGTTCTTAGTGCTTAAAGCTAAGCATATGACATTTCATATGCTTCATATCCCATCAGCACCTACATCTGCATCATCTTCGTCAACACCATCATTCCCCCTACACGTACACACTCACGCTCTATTTCCTCTGTGCTCATAAATCTCTTCCCATGCAACTCTGGGAATATATTCCTTCCTCTCTTTTTTTCTGCACAGTCAAGTGAAACAACCACCTTAATTTCTCCAAGTCTCCCCTCAAAACTTTTGCAAGAGTTGTGAATACTGTCCAAGGAAGTTTTCAGGCTGTCATGACAAAAGCCAGTAATTTCATACAGAAAATAGTAAGCAGATACATCTGATAGAGGGAAAAGGGTCTAGAATATTTACGGCTGCATAGAAAACAGTCAGTAAACCTCCTATCTGACTGGATATTTAGGCTGAATTAACAAGAAGAAAATCTGGATCCTAATCTTTAGTGGCCTACTGAATGTCAGTAGCATTTAGTTTATTATGCATAAGCATGTTTTCCTTTATTATTATTAGCATATGTTATGCTTTGTTAAAATTTTAAGGATTGAGATAACATTATGCTATTTTTTTAAGGTTTATTTATTTGAGAGAGAGAGAGCTCATGGAGGAGAATGAGCCAGGGGGAGGGGCAGAAAAAGGGGGAGAAGGAGAGAAGCAGATTCTGAGCGGAACGGGACATGGGGCAAGGTCTCACGATCCATGAGATCATGACCAAAACCGAAATCAAGAGTCGGATGCTAAACCAGCTGAGCCACCCAGGGGCCCCAACATTATGTATTTTTTTTAATGCTATCTCCCTATATTGAGGAAGTTTTTTAAAAAGGTTTTGAGGCTTAATAATCTTTTTTTTTTTTTTTAGTTTTTCTCCCTTTATATTGTATAAGGTGTGGCTCTCAAATGTTAGTCTGTATCAGAATCATCTGGGAATGCTTATTAAAATGGGTTGCTAGAACCCACCTCCAAAGTTTCTAGAGTAGAGAATTTGCTTTTCTAATAAGTTCCCAGGTGCTGTTGGTTCTGATCCAAGGATCACATTTGCGAACTACCCATCCGTACTGCAGTATGGGGGGAAAAGGGCACAATACCTCTAGGTTTCTGTCAACCATTAACATCACGTATAAGGATTATGGCTCACCAGCTCAACCAAATGTTCTAGACTAAAAGGTCTAGGAATAATTTTGCCCCTGCAGTTTTTAAAATGCTAAAGTAAACTTTTCTTAATTGTATAGTGAACCAGTCATGGAATTAGCTTACCTTCCTTTCTTCTAAGACCATGAGTCCATATAAATTTGGTATGATGGTTATCAACTTACTACACATGTAATGTGATCCTAGATTACCATTTGAATTCTCATAGATTTTCAGATAGCTGTTCTTTTTTTCTGAAACAGAAAACAGAAATAAAAGTGTTAAAGAGTAATTTCTTCTTGTCTGTTCATAAGTTTCCTAAGTGCAGCTAACCATGGAATTTAATAACAATAAACCACTTTAAAAATATAAACTTTAAATAGATGTCATATTATGCCATTTTACCATTTTTATAAAGTGATTTCAATGGTTTTTGGTAGCTATATATATAAAATTTTGTACACATTAATATATGTTTCCATGCCATCAAATCACACCATTTGAATCTAAATTGTTCCACTTTCAGCAAGTTATCCTGCTACTACCGGTAGATATTTTACATTCTTAACTCATGAAGACAGAACAGTAGCTAAGTGGAAACTAAATTTTTATTCTACAATAACACTTTGTAAACTTGTAGATATTATAAACAATAAGGTTTAGCATATGACATGATATTTTAATTTTACAGCACAAAAAGAAATTAATATCTCTGTGATAAAAAAGTGAGGTAACGTTAATATTATCTGATTCTAATAAAGGATGTGGTAGAAACTTTAATGATAATTGTATACACAAATTTTATGTATGAAATTACACAAGGGCTAATATAGAAAGGCATAAAATAGAATGTAAACTACATAAACTTGACCTATTCAAGTAATGAACAATTCACCCTATGTGCTGGATCAACCACATAAAGATCTTCATTCCACAATGTATTGATTGTGGCATACATTGTAAGGAAAATCTGGAAAACAAATCTAGATTTAAAAACATAATGCTAAGTGTTTAGAACAGTGTCGCATATAAATAAATAGTACATATTGGTGTATGTCGATTATGTTTATTTTCATTTTTAGATCAATTCCAAAACTGTTTCTGTGAAACCTAGGAGAAAAGATTATTTTCTAAGAAAGTTAGAAAGTTTCCTTCTTTTTTTTTTGTATTTAATTTGGAGAGGAGTTCTGATCAGAGGTACACACCATTTAATTCCTCCATCATGGATATTCCAGGTACTCTGTCTAAACAGCAGGGTACAAAGGTGCTTGGGATTCAACCCCTGTTCTTCGGAGGTTGAAAAAAGCCTACCTACATCATAATTTTATATGAATTATGTAATTGTCTCTCAATAGAACTGAGTAGTACAAGGAATAGCTTAAGACTATTTCTTACAGATCACATCAGTTATATACTTTCTGGATAGTTGAGTGCACGTGTACTTATACTAAAGGTTTTTCATAATATGTAGTTAAAAGTGACATTGTTGACAGCTAACCAAACATTGTAATGTACAGGTTGAATGTTAAGATCACTGATTGGTAGAGTAATTTTATGGGAAATGACAGGCTATATACCTGTGTTTTTCTAGGCATTTTTGATCAGCCTTGCCTTATCACAGCTCATGTTCTAATGATCATTGCAGGATGAAGTGGCACAGCCACTGAACCTATCAGCTAAACCCAAGACCTCTGATGGCAAATCACCCACATCACCCACCTCTCCCCATATGCCAGCTCTGAGAATAAACAGTGGGGCAGGCCCCCTCAAAGCCTCTGTCCCAGCAGCATTAGCTAGTCCTTCAGCCAGAGTTAGCACAATAGGTAAGTTCTGTTTCTTTTGTTCTTGCTGATTTTCTGTTTATGGCAATTGAATGAAATCATCTTTTAATGGCAAATCACGCATACCCTGTGCATGGTTTTAGTTCCATAGGAGAGTTTCAACCTGATGAACCTCGTAGGTGTGTTTTAAACATGCAAATGAAATTTATAACTGAAGTCCAAGTTACAATGTCCCCCTGAAAGCTAATTGAACTGGTTATGTTTGTTGATGTAACAAATGTTCTTAAGTTTATAAAAAAGAGGCCTAAATGACTTAATCACAGAGAGCAATGTTTCCAGAATGTTGTTGTTAGGTGACTTGCCTTTCCCATCACTGAAATATATTTTTGTGTTTTTTGATGTGTACAAACTATACATAATGATAAAATACATTCTACTTAGATCAGCAGTCACCCATCAGGATATGAAGTTTGTTCAGTTCCATACTGCTTGAGATTTACTTGAATACACCGAAGTATTATAAAAATTACGTAGCTTCATTTCTCCATAATTGTCATTTTGGTAAACACTAGAAAATGCTTCTATAAGCTAACTTTTTAAAAATTCCAATAATTTTTACTTCAGTAACACATAAATTAGACTGTAAACCCTTACTTCAACCTACATTTATTGATATGTTTATCACTTGCGTAGAGTTATAAGGAGGCTAGCACCGACAAACCTTTAAGGAGCTCAGGGTTTAATTAGGGGAAATGTTATCCCTCTTATAGTACTAGTCAGCCATGGGAAGTGCTATTTCAGATACAACCTTGTAATCAAAAAGAAAAGTGTTGGATTCTATTTGGGAAGGATCAAGGAAGGCCAAGTTGGCAATAGCCTAATTCGAGTGGAGTCTTGAGGAAAAGAGACATTCCTCCGCATTTTAGCCTTTAAGAAAAAAAACCAGAGTAAAATAGCATGTTTTTGAGAAATGCACTGATTTGGCTAGAATATAGAATGAATGTGTAGTGAAAAGTGATCAGGGCTAAAACTGAAAGGAGCAGATGGAATCTGGCTGAATGCTATCCTAAGAAATTTTGAATTTTTCTCCAGACAGCAATCTGATCAGAACTTTAAGAAAGAAGAGTATTGGCAGCAGGAAGAAATAGGAATCTGGGAAACCATTGTTTTAGTGTAGGACAAGAGTTAGTTACATGAAATAGAAATAAGCAATGATAAAACAAAGGAAGGAATAGATTGAAGAGATATTAGTAAAGAAGACTTGATGTAACCTATCCTCAATAGAGACTACCTGGTGAAGTTCAAGTTGGAGACAGAGGAGTCTAGGATTTTGAATTCATAAAATAAGAAGGATAATACCTCCCTTAACTGTGAAAGAGAAGACCAGAGTAGAAGCAGATTTGGAAGACATAAATATAAAAATGTAGTAAGCGTTGAAACACAAGGAGCAATTTTGGTAGAGATATTCAGGAGGAAACTATAAACGTAAGTCTGATATGTAAAAGGGTACTAGCATTTTAGATGTAGAATTATATATGATATAAGGGGATGAAGAGTACACCTATCATGATGAGCACAGAGTAATGTATAGAATTATTAAATCACTATATTGAAACTAAGTATAGAATTATTAAATCACCATATTGAAACTAATATGACACTCTATGTTAGCTATACTAGAATTAGAAGAAAGAAAATGAAAAGATATATGCACCTTTAGAAAAAAAGGAAGTTCAGCAAAAAGAGTGTGTATAATAAGAAAAGAAGTGGGATAAAGAATCATAGGTATTACCTACTGTATTAGTTATCTATTACTGCAGAGCAAATTAACCTAAAATTCAGGAGCTTAAAATAACCAACATTCATCATCTTTGGTTTCTAAGGGTCAGAATTTGGAAGCAGCTTAGCTGGGTAGTTCTGGTGTAAGGCCTTATGATTGTAATCAATGTGTTAGGCAGGGCTATAGTCCTCTGTGGACTTTATTAGCATTTTAGATGTAGAATAGATGCTCTTGTTCAAGATGTCTCACTCACATGGTTGTCGGCTAGAGGGTCAATTCTTTGCCTTGTGAGTCTTTCCATAGGATTGCTCCTTGCATGGAAACTGACTTTCCCGAGAGTGGGTGCTCTAAGAGGGTAAGCAAACAGAAAGCCACAGTGCCTTTTATGACCTAGTCTTGAAAGTCACACAGAGTCCAGTCTGCTTTACTCTCTTCATTGTAAGAGAATCACAAGTACAGCCCAACTCAAGGGAAGGGGAATATCAAAGTATCGTTGGGCACATTTTAAAACCAGCACACTTTTTTAGGGGGGAAAACTGATAAAGAACAAGTGACTATGTTAGAATAAGAATGAAGATAGGGCAGTGTCATGCAGGCCTAGGAAAAATGAAAGTTTCAAAAAAGAAGGGGTTATTTAATGGTGTCCCATTTGGCAGAAAAGTTAAAAAAGAAAAGAAAAAGAAAAGCCTTATGATTTAGCTGGAGCTCATGGAGAGGTAAACTCTGACAGAGAAGTTTTAGGAGAATGCCTTAACAGAATTTCAATCGCAATGGTTTGAAGACTATGAGGAGAGAAAATGCAGTTGATCTATAGACCAGTCTTTTTTGTAAGCTTGGTGTTGAGAAGTGATTATTTTAAAAGGACTGCGTAAAGACAGGTTTTAAAATAGGGCAATCATTCATATATATATGACTATATATGTGTGTGTGTGTGTGTATATATAGTCAAAGGGAAGAAGAGTCAGAGATGAAGATATGAAAGAGAGGATGGACGATGATGGAATAAGACAAGAGATCATGAGAAAGGATTAACCTTGGAAAGGAACAAAGCCCCTCTTTTTTCTGAGACTGAACAAAACAAAGGAAAAAAAGGGATAAAGTTACAGAGAAATTGTGGGATGGACAAAAAAAAAAAAAAAAGCTGAAGGAATGTATTTCAAATGCTTCAGTCTCCACAGAGCAGAATTCCAGATTATTTGCCAAGAGGAAGTCAGTCTGGGGCAGTGGGACAGCAGTAAGAGCAGACACTGTGAAAACTTAAGTTTTGAGAAGTTTGAAAAAGGTTGGGGTACACGTCCGCTTTTTATCACTATGCACCACTGTTTTATGGCCCAACTCAGTTACTCCCCTCCACATCCTAAATGGACTCCAAGATAAAACTTGCTTTCATGTCCTAAGTATGTAAAAGAAAGAATATTTTATTTGGCAGGAATGATTCACTTACAAAATAGACATGAAGGCTTATAAATATCACAGTGCTGGTCTATGAGCTACTTTTGTAATGTCACCAGAACTAGAATATTTAACAAAATAACGGATAGATTTGCATTTTTATCATATGAGAATTTTTTACTTCAGCATTCCAGGGATTAAGTATGACAAAATATTTTAGAAAGGCAAAAATGTATTTAATGACATTTATCATCTGACTTTCTCTACTACTAAAACTTCCCTTAGTTTTTTTTTTCCCTGAAAAATCCCTTCACCACATACCCATCCACACATCCCTCATAGTTTCCAAGGATTTGAGGCCACTACGATTTACTTTTCTCTTTTCAGCAAATGCAGATGTTGAAAGCTGAAACTGTAATGAGTAATAATGTAGTTGGATAAAAGCTGTGCACATTAATGGTGCTGTAAAGGTCACCCCTGAAAGAAGAATTAATGTGTTATGCCATTAATAAACCAAGGAAAACTGTGAACTAAAAGATAACTTAAGTTATCGTTAATGACATGGGCTCTTTGCTATATATCTATTAGCTACAAATATAGAAAGTGAGTTTTTGAGGTGGGTGACCAATATTACACTGTATTCTGTAAGAATGCCTTTGATATGGTATGCAAAGGATAGGATGCTCCAAAAGAAAGGGAATCCTTAAAGGGTATGAATAGTTCAGAAGAATGATGGATAAGTTTAGAAGCTTCTGACTGAATGTTATCTTCCTATTATTGGCCTTTTTCACCTATATTGTACATAGGTATAGTACCTTTAACAATTTTCAAAGCATTTTTAATCTCTTTCTTACTGAAGCTAATTTAGAATTATAGACCCTAAAATAGATAGAGCAGATATTCCTATTATCCAGTCAAAACTTGTTATTTTACAGATAAGGAATTGGGGCCTAAGGAGGCTAAGTGCTTACCCAGGGATTCTAAGTAAGTTCCCGACACAGGGTAGACAGTTCTGTGACTCTGTGTTTATTTCCTCTGTTTTAATTTCAAGGAAACAGCTATATGAAGACCTAGTAACTTGCTCAAACTCACAGCCAGGGGTGGTTGAGGCCAGAGGATTCATGGTCTCTGGTTGGCATGCTCCCTTTTCAGCTACTGCCTGTTGGTAGGCTTGCTGCGTTAGATGCTCTTCTTAGTCATTTATCTAGCCTTTCACTCGTTCACTGGATAAATGAGTATTAAATATCTTCCCTATGCCATAGATTTTGCAGGATGGTGAGCAGATGGAAGTCTGGAGGATGAGCAGATGAACGTCTTGGGCAGAGGCTTTAGATAGCCTCCAGTCTTGTTCTATTAAGTCTTTGGAAGATACTAGAATGTATTATCCTTACCCATTATTCTTCAGAGGCATTAACACATGAAAAGTAAAACTTTACTGAGCAAATGTAGTAGACTCACATTGATTCAGTAGAATGAGGGAAAATATTTTCCAGTTCATCAATTTGGTACTTTATTTCTACAACTTGCTAATTTAAAATACAATGGCATGAAGGAGTATATTACCTTGATGTTTCATTAGTTTACAATTTTAATCAGAAAAACTTCTATGAGGGTAGGTTGTTGAACAAAAATACTGTAATAGTTTCATAGAAAGCTAGTGGATTGTCAAGAAGTTGAGGGTATTATTCAACATCTGGCAATTAACATTTGCATAGCACTTTATAATTTACAAATTGCTTTCACATTTATAATCTAATTCTTGTGAGTTTTCACAGATGAAGAAATGGCTACATATCAGGGTGCCAAAAATTTGATGATGATAAGTGACCTCAACAATAGAAAAAAATCAGTATTTGTTGAAAATAACTTG